TCCTTGGAGAAGGACATCATGCTTGGGAAGGTGAAGGGACAATGCAAGAGAGGAAGACCCTGGAGGAGACAGACTGATACAATGACTGTGTCAGAGACAGTGAGATGGACTCAAGGCAGGGCATGGTTCAGAGTTACTGTGCATAGGGTCACTATGAGTCACAAGCGACTAGACGGCACATAACAATAACAACAAACCTAAGTAAGCTCCCTGGCTCTGGCAGGAAGCTTAACACTCAGTTTTTTTTTGTGGGGAATAATATCTCCTAGTCGCAAGGATACTGTGGGACTCTTAATCAAAACATCCTGCCTTTCCTAGCAGGCACTTGGCCCAAGACCATTTGGACCCTCCCCGGAATTTGAATTACGAACAGAGTTAGAGTTTACTCATTCCCACTGCAGTGCCAAGGGAGTTCCTGCAGCTGGATCCCCGAAACAGCCTCGTTCTGGGCCTTCCCTCGGGCCTACTCCCGGGTCTTAACAGCCAAGTCCTCTGGGTCTTCAGTCAATCCATCTATTTCTATTATTTGTATTTAAAACACTCAAGTAATAATTTACCTTTACAGATCACCATGAAGAAGAGACAGATAAAACATGGGAAGTGTTTTGCTAAATATCAAATGCTACCCAACAAAAGGGTAGGAATGGATCCTGAATATGAAAAGATACTATTGCATGAAAAATACAAGCATGCAAAAACATATTTAAAATGCACCTAAAATCAGGGTTAAATAAAAAAATAACTAACACAAAGCATGGTATCAGTATTGAAGGAAGATTCATCAACAACCTGTGTTATGCAAATGACACAATCCTGTTTGCTAAAACTGAAGAAGCCATGAGGCATTTGCTGCAGAAGGTCAAGGACTGTAGTCTTCAGTGTGGATTAAAGCTCAACAGCAAGAGAACAAAGATTCTCACCACTGGGCTGATGAGCAGCTTCATGACGAATGGAGAAGAAACTGAGATTGTTTATACTTTCAGCTTGCTTGGTTCTACAACCAACACTCTTGGGATCAGTATTCAGGAAATCAAAAGATGAATTGCACTGGGAAAATCTGCTGCCAGGGACCCCTCTAGAGTACTGAAGAGCAACAATGTCAATCTAGAGACTAAGGTGTGCCTGATACAGGCCAGGATCTTCACAATCACTTTATATGCATCTGAGAGCTGGACAATAACTAAAGAGAATATAAGAAGGATCGATGCCTTTGAGTTGTGGTGTTGTAGAAGAGTGTTGACCATATCGTGGACTGCCAGGAGAACAAACAGATCTGTCCTGGAGAGGGTGAAACCAGACTGCTCCCTGGAGGCAAGGATTTTGAGGGTCCATCTCACATACTTTGGGCATGTGGCTAGGAGGGACCAGCCCTTGGAGAGGGACATTATGCTTGCAAAGGTGGAGGGACAGTGCAGGAGAGGAAGACCCCGGATGAGATAGATTGACTCAGTGACTGGAGCGATGATATTAGGTTTGTTGGAAATGATGAGACTGGCTCAGGATAAGGCAGGTTTCAGAGCTAGTGGGTCACAGGCAATTCAATGGCACACAACAACAACAACAAAGAATGGCATTTGCCTTATTGGAAATGGAGCTAATTATACCTTTAGGTCCTTGTTTCCTCCCTTTCTCTACCCCAAAACCAAGATCTAGGCTAGACAGATAATTTCACGACTTCCCTGAAAGCAATACTTACTTTGATTAAGGGTCAAATTTTCTATCAGGCCTTTTCTTGGTAAACGAAAAGTGACCATTTACTAGGCTAAACTTATAATTACAAGTACGATCCCAAAACAGAAACGTCTGAATCAGAGTAAGTTAGCGATGAGTGTAATTTTAGGCTTTATGATGAATAAATCTGTAAAAGCCCAAGCGTTTAAACGGCGAAAATGTCCTGGCTCTTGTCTTACGGCCATCTGCTCAGCATCAACCTCTTGGGTTCTCTCGGGCTGGCTTGGGTTCTCTCGGGCTGGCAGTAACTCAGTTTAAAACAGTCTAAAATGAAAAAGTGAACTCAGGAACTCTTCCTTCAATGACAGCACACATGATAATTCTTTAAAATGCCCCTAGTTGGTCCTGAAGACAGACATGAGAAGGGCTCTTGGAGGAAGGATCGCTCTAGACAGCAGAGGAAAGAAGGCTTGCAAGAGCCCAAATGTGTTATGGAAACGTGAGGAATCTGCACCTCTAGACCTGTGCCTATGGGATCGTTTTCTGTGTTATATTAATTAGTCAGCGTTATAAACCTACTTATTTGAATGGATGGAGGGAGGGACTGAGGGAGGGAAGAAAGGAGGGAGGGAGAGTGGGAGAGAGGGAGGAAAAGAGGGAGGGGAGAAAGAGAGACACGGAGAGAAGGAGGAAGAGAGAGAGAGAGGCGATAGATAGACAGACAGCAGGTTAGGGAAAGACAAATATAAGTAGAAGGGAATATTGTTGTTGTTGTTGTCATCGTTAATTGCCTTTGAGTCGAGTATGACTTATAGCGACCCTAGGAACAAAAGGCTTGAAGCCCCTCTAGAACTATCAACACTTAACAAAGTTCATAGAGTTTCTGGAGGCATATTATTTAGGAAGTGTAAGCCACTCGTGCTTCCAAAGAAGGGAATATACATGCTTGGAAATTATCAAGCGATCAGAGAAATTCAGATTGACAAGAACTAAAAGAGAGAGCCTTTTTCTAAAGCCAGTGCCCTAAATTGGGACTGCCTGCATCCTAAACTGTGAGAAAATAAATTGCCGTTCTTTCAAACCACCCACTTACATACTATCTTGGTTACAGATGCACTAAGAAACTAAGATACAGTTGGACACTCTTCTCCAACAAGGACAGTCTTCTCTCAACAACCAAGGCCAAATTCTTTGTCACCGAGTTGATTCCAACTCACAGCAACCTTATCAGACCAGAACTGCCCCTTTGAGGTTTCCAAGGTCGTGAATCGTCTCAGAAGCACACTGCCTCATCTTTGTGCTACAGGGCAGCTAGTGGGTTCAAACTGTGGACCTTGACTTTACAGACTAGTTTTCACTACAGGCTCACCAGGGCTATTTGTTGTTGTGAGGTGCCATCGAGTATGACTCAGAGTGACCCTATGAAGAGCCAACCTGAACCCCGCCCTCGCCAGTGCCCTCCTCCTCCTCATCTCTGAAACACTCAAGCCCATTGCTGAAGTCACCATGTCAATCCATCTCACTCGGGTCTTCCTCTCCTTCACTGACTCCCAATCTTTCCAACCATGATGTCCCTCTCCAATGAATAGTCTCCCCGAGCAGCATGTTCAAAATATGAAAGATGAAGGTCCATCACCTTTGCCTCTAAAGAGCACTCCAGCTGTGTCTTCTCCAAGACATATCTGTCTGTTCTTTTGACAGTTTATAGGATATTCAGTACTCTTCTCTAGCACCACAACTCAAAGTTCTCAATTCTTCTCTGTCACCCTCATTCATTTTCCAGCTCTCTGATACACAGCAGGTGACTGAGAAGGCCATGGCCTGAATCAAGTGTACCTCAGTGTTCAAACTGGCAACATTGCTTTTCAGCATTCTGGAGAGGTCCCTGACAGCCGACGTGCCCAATGTCATATGTCTTCGGATTCCCTGACTGCTGGTACCAAAAGTTTTTATTGTTGATCTAAGCAGGATTAAATCAATGACAGCCTCAAATCCTTTCTCCATCTATCATAATGTCGACTGTTGGTCCTGTAGTGAAGACCTTTGTTTTCTTCATGCTGAGATGTAATTCAGACCAAAGGCTATAGTCCTTGATCTGTGCAGCAAACATATGGACAACACTTTGGTCTAAGTATAGATTTAGAATTAGCATAATTGTTATTAGCATTATTAAGTGTTCTCGAATTCCCATTGTTCTCAAGGTCATGGGTTCTTAATCTTACCTAAAAACAAACCAAAAAAGTCAAACAAACAACAACAAACCACTTATAATTCAATTGTCGATAAGTCTGAACCAATTCATAGCTAATCCTCCATATGGTTTTCTGAGGCTGTAAATTGCACAAGATGAGACGACCCATCTTTCTCCTGAAGATAGTGGTGGGTGGATTTGAACCAGCAGAGAGGTACCGCCTTGGGGTCAGCAGCACACCTGCCCTGGGTCTGCACCACAGGGAAGAAGAATGGGAGTGATTTGCTGCTGGTATGATGAACAGAAACAGAAACAAAGTGGTTGAACAAGAAAAGGTCAGTATACAAGGTTTGGTCAGGCACGTGAGGAGCGCAAGTTTTTATCTGACAGGACTATACAAACGGAGAGCCTGCTGAAAGACGAATTCCACGACGTGCCTTTAATCTTACTACTTGGGGAACATAGTCTTTCTCTTTCTTTGGCACATTTAGGTGATAAACGGAGTGTGACTCCTCAAAGATACAAATTTCCACCAAGCTTTGCAGAAGACCCGAACAACGGAATTTACTCCTCCGACCACAACTTTGCTTTGTACTGCTATCAGAATGGAAATGGTACGACAGGAGCACGCACAGGAGACACATTTGGGAAATTCTGGATGAAGTTCATTGGGCATCGCTCCAACAAGATAAATTCCAACAACAGAAAAAGATGACTTAAAGTGCCTCTTTGCCCAGTGCGTCATTGCCACACAGAGTGAGGAGAGGAAGAGGGTCAGGATTTTACGACGGGGAATTGGGATGACTGGAGACATGTGGTGTTTCTTTGAAAGCCTCACTTTGGGGTTTCAAAATAGGAAGGGTAACAAAGAAATAATTTTTTAAGTTAATTTGTGCCATCGCTGGCTCTTCACTCTTGATGCTGTTAACGAGGCTGCCTTCAAATGCTTTTATGCTTGAACGGATGCTGTGTTTTTGTTATTCTCAGTAGCAATTGACTTAATCACATTACCTTCGTATACATGTCACAGCAGATCTATAAACTCATGTAATGGATTCACTGATTTCCAGATAATACACTTAGAGTCAACACTTGTTTTCAAGGCAGACCAAGATGCTTTCAGCGGGGCTGACAGTACCTTAAATGCCACCTGGATGATTTCCTCGGTGTTGGCAGGGTTGCACAGGACAGCCAAGCCGATCACATACTCCCGGAAGTCGATGCTGCCATCATGGTTCTATGAAAGGAGAGGAGAAATCAATTAGGAGGGCACGAGGTGAACTATCACTCAGCATAGCCCGTGAGGTCTGGTCCCCTGCTCAACAGCTTCATATACTGAGACTGAATGGGAAAATGTTCACAAAGCAATGGAATGGCAGTTAATAACCCCTCTGTTTCCACTTTTAGAGGGAAAGACAGAATAGAAACACTGTATTACTGAGGCCATTTAGAGTGGCTGTACAATGTTCAGAAGGGGTTCTGGAACTCAACACTGATAGGAAACCCAACAGGAGGGAGGAGTCAGGCCATTCATCCTGGATAGGACCAACCCATTCATCCTGTCATTCTACCCTGCCATGCAAGCCAACACCAAAGGTCTTTACGTTCCAAAGGGCTACGAAGCACCTTGTACACAGGGAAGGGGAATGAAAAGGGCATGTTGAGACAATGATCCCAGCTATGTTCTGTCTTCCAGAATAAAGATGCAGTGAACCAGAGCTGCTGGTTTACAATGGCCTCTTGGGAATAGCAGACCCCAGAGGAGCTAAACTTACAGATGCTTAGACTCTGGAAACCAAACATAACTATAAGGTATTACTGTGTCTAGGCCTCAGGAAGCATCTCATGAAGGCAATATAAAAGAAGAGGAAGGTAACGCTAATCCAGCCTAAAGAACAACTTTCTTACATATTAACTACTCATCCAGACAGCAACATTGAGAATGTAAATGAAGAGAAAGAGAGAATTTAAGGAAGGAAGAATGAAAGGAAAAGAGGCAAGCACAGAGGAAGGGAGGGTTGGAAGAGGACAGAGAGAGAGAGAAAGAAGAAGAGAGGAGGAGACAGGGGGAAATGAGATGAAGAGTAGAGGAGAAATACAGAGGCAGGCGAGGGGGAAGGAGGCAAGGAGAAAGAAGGCGAGGCTCAACCCCGGTGTTAGAGTTACAGTGACAGGAAAATCTCCAAATAAGAACTTCTCAGATAAGCTAGGAGCTAGGAATAACAAAACTAGCACATTGAGTGATAGGTTAGCAAATAACGTTTGGCATCAATAAGATTGCAATCTTCCACTGTGATGAAGTATCTATACTTCAGGCTCCAAGAGTTCCTTAAAGGCGAGGGTTCTGGGGATGGTGCAGCCCCAGCCTGTAACTCAGGCAGATGCTGAAAACTGTGGCCTTTACACATACAGGACTTCACCTGATGGACTATGCAGGTGAGGTTGATGACATCTGTGGCAAGAGATTGTTGTAGGGAAAATTCACCGTTGGCAGTCAAAGCGAGACCAGCGAGTGACTGTTGGACCGCTTATCTGGTATCTGTGATTTATAATGGCCAATACCAGCCCATTTCAACTCATTCATGCCTAGGATGTTGATCTCTACATGTTCATTTTCACTTCTGACAACTTCCAATACATTCCATGGTCCAGCTATTAGTGGATGTTTGCAGCTGTTTCTCATCATTTGGAGCCTTGCCACTTTAGCAAATGAAGGTCCATCATTTACTGCAAACTTGACATTGAGGAGGTAGATCTTTCCCATTTTATGTGCCTTTCAACCTGAGGGGCTCATCTTCCGGTACGATATTCAACAATGCTTTGTTCCATTGTGCATAGTGTTTATAAGGTTTGTTGTTTCAGAAGTGGATGATGGGCTTTTTAGTCTGTCTTTGTCCGGAAGCTCCACTGAAACCTGTCCACCGTGGGTGACCCTGCTGGTATGTGAAATATCAGAGGTATAGCTGCCACCACCACAGAAACACGCAACATGCATAGTGCTGTAAATGGACAGACGAGTGGTGGATGAATGTCGCAGGCAAGATCACGGTGGAAAAGGCCAGCAATGACTCATATGAAAGTTCAAACTGAAATTTAAGAAAATGAAAACAAGTCCAAGAGAACCAAAATATGACCTTGTGTCTATCTCATCTGAATTTAACGCATTGACCACTAATGAATGACCAAAGGCAAGAAGAGTGTGAGACGACATCAAGGACATCATCCACAAAGAAAGCAAAATGCCATTCCAAGAGAAGGGAGAAAGAAAAGATAAAAAATGATGTCAGAAGAGACTCTGACATCGGAAATTTGTCACTGGAATGAAAAGAAGTCAAAACAAAGGCAAGGAATGCTGAGGTTGGAGAGAGGAACAGAAGATATCAAAGGGCAGCTCCAGAAAACAAAATAAAGCATAAAAGGGAAATGTGGGAATTAAAAAACTCTAAACAGAAGAACAAGCTTCAAACTTCCCAATCTGAAAGAACTGAAGAGTGTATTCAAACCTCAAGTTGCAATAATGAAGGATTCTAGTGGTGAAATCTTGAATGACGCAGGAAGCATCAAAAGAAGATGGAAGGAATACAGAGTCACTGTATCAATTACTTCCAATCATCCACATTAAAATAAATATCTTTGCCTCCTTACTATTGAGTCAGAACCAACTTAAAGCTGACCCTTGAGTGGGTTTCCAAGACTGTACATATCATAGGAGATTGTCCATTTCTCTTTCTCATGGAGCTTCTGGGGGATTCAAGCATCTGGAGAGACATCACATTTGGGACAGTAGTACAATTTCCTATGGACTATGCCATCAGAGCTCTATTTAAAAGAAATAGCTTTATAAAATAATACTGTTTTTAAAAACAATAAGAAACAGAGAAAATAAAATTATTAGATTAGCACAACATACTCCTTTAATTTTTTAATATTAAATTGGTGCCATAAAAAAATCATTCCTCAAGTCTTTGGTTCTTTTAAAAGCCTACTGAGGGCAGTGAAACTCAATGAACTCATAAAACATTACACAACATGGGGGAGCCTCGAGGACATTATGCTGAGTGAAATATCTCAGTCACAAGAGGACAAATACTGCATAACACTACTTTTATAAAATAGGACAAAAATTGGGGGGATTAGGAGGAGAATGGGAAAAGAGTAGACAGATAATGAACACTGCATTAGAACAGATGAGGAAGAACTGTTTGAAAGGAATATATGATTAGGTGTGACAACAATCTTGAACAAAGGGTGAATTGCAGGGTGGGCTGGGGAAGGGAAAAGGGGAAGAAAATGTGCAAAATGAAAAAAAAAATTTAAAAACCAACCCAAAACAATGCTTCCTGAGTGCCTCAGAGAGAATTTTTGAAACAAAACAAAACACTAGATAGGAAAACATTTTATAGTAGATTCCAAAAAAGGAGATGAGCTTTTCTGAAGGGATCTGTTCCATTAAAAAACAGTTTCTATGGGGTTGATTCTAATTCATTGAGACTCCATGTAATAGAGAAATAACTTACAGGACCCGGGCTGTAATCCTCATGAAAGCAGATCATGAAATTATTCTCCTGTGGAGTCTCTGGCTTGAACGTCACCTCTTGGATTAGCATCTGACTACTTAACTACTCTACCACCCAGGGCTCCTTTATTCCTTCCCTTAATTTAAACTAATCTGGAGTGCACAACAGTCTAGAGTTACAGACAAAGAGTTATGTTAAGTTATAGCCGAAGAAGGGCGGCTAAGCCTTGCTGGGACTCCCGGTGATGGACTCTGGCTTCTCAGTCATTGTCAGCGTCAGAAAAGCATGGAAGTGTGTCAAGGTGACTGTGAGCACACGGTGACTGTGAGCACACAGTGCCCAGCACTTTCCCTCCCACAGTCATATCACATTGGCTTCCAAGGCCAGAGGAAGTTCTAGGTCACTTGTTTACACACTGTCCATTTATAATTCCCAATGGAAAACTGGAAAGTCTCATGTATGATTCTCAGGGATCTGTTTCCTAAGATTGTTTCATAGTTGGAATTTTAAAACATTTTTATTCACACGGAATCAGACACTTTTTACAATTTCTTAAGTCTAGCAACATTTAATGACATGATTATGAATACATTTTGAGATACGAAGGTCCTAAAGATAAGAACTATTGTCCCTTTGGTATTTGAAGTTCTGCTGTTGTAACAGATAAAATCATCTATTTAAGTGTGGTATCAAGATCAAAGAGAGGAAGACTCATCAAGTACTTGCATTATGTAGATGACACAACCTTGCTTGCTGAAAGTGTGGAGAACTAGAAGCATTTCTTACAGAAGATCAAAGAATACAGCCTTCAATATGGATTGCATCTCAACATCAAAAAAAGCAAAAACTCTTACCACTGGAATAATAAGCAACATCATGATGGAGAAAAAACTGGAACTGTCAACAACTTCATCTTACTTGGATCCACAATTAACACCTTACTACCAGCAGAAATTGAGAGACATATTGCACTGGGAAAGTCTGCAGTCAGAGACCTCTCCAAGTTATTGAGGAATAACGATGCCAGTTGGAGAACTAACGTGCGTCTGATTCAGGGTATGGTCTTTCTTGCTATGCATCGGAGAGCTGGACAATGAATAAAGATGACAGAAGAATTGGTGATTTTGAGCTGTGGCATTGTATAAATCCATAGACTGCCAAAAGAACAAACAAGGCTCTGTAGTATTCTGTAAACTTTCATGATGAGATTCTTGTCTGACATGGGATTGGCAAATGTATTTCCTAGTTGGTAGGTTTTCTTTTCATCCTATTGGAGAAAGTTTTTATGCACACAGGGACTTAAATCTTTAGAACATCCTAATCATCTATTTTTGTTTTTCAGAAGTATTTGCTTATTCAGAGTCTTATTCTTTTCCAAATAAATTTGCCAATTGCCTTTTCTATACCTTTAAATAATTAATTGGGTATCTATACCGGATTCTACAGAGAGGTAACTCATGGTTGCTGTGATGCTAAACACTGATGTGTCAAATGCGATAATGATTGCCCATGATGGACAGTGTTTCTGGAGCTTCCCAATTAAAACAATCTTGGAAGCAGGAGTGGCAAAATAGCTTGCCTCTGGAAACTCTATGAACATGGAGAAATGATTAAAGTTATACAAGTGCTCAAGTCTTCATTCTTAAGGTCGCTATGAGTCATCGAGCCTGGAAGCAGGAGTGGCATCCACTTCCGAAATGGCTTGCCTCCGGAAACTCTA